TCCGAGTAAATTTCAACTACCAAAATATGCTACAACAAATTTTGCTAAATCACCATTCAAGAAACCGACTGAAGTCAATCTTGAAGTTTATGATGGAGCTTGTCATGTTTTTCCAATTGTGAGTGTTATTTGATGTCGAAGAAATTTTTAGAATGTTCCTATTACGTATCACCTATATTTATATGTTGATTGATTTTATTTATTTTTTTATATAATTGTAATTAGATAATTCCTACTGAAAAAGTTTCTCAGTTCTCAATAAAACGTTCTTGCAATTTCATTAAGAATTACACGCTTAATGAAAGTATTCAAGATAAAGCGGAGGGTAACTCTATTGATGCTATTGTAATTAACCCTAATTGTGATATTAGAGAGTTGGATGCGAAATTTCTTGAATGTTTGAGTTGGGAAAACATTGGAGTTATCCCAGAAGTAGAAGTTGAAATTGATCAAATGGAATAATTTATTCATGGAAATTTTTTAAACTTGAAATTTTAACATGGATTTTGACCATTTTTTTTACGAGTTATCAACAAATAAACCACGTACTAATTTGATATAATTATTGTAAATTAATTCTGCTATTATAAAAATATGTCAAATGTCCTGCATTGGTTACTCGAAATTAATCATATCGGCGGATTTGCGGAATGGATCTAAATTAGAGCCCCTGTATTTAACAATTGTAGAATGCATAATAGCTGAAATTTTGGGGGTTGGCTTTACAATCGCATTGTTAAAATATATGGACCTTAATTTAGGTCAATTCCGCAAATTTGCCGATATGTGATGTATTAAAATTAAAATTACGGGTTTTAAAAGTGTCTGAGGACATCCTGTTAAGGCCACTCCAATTTAATTTTCTGTTTAACATAACCTAAAGTAGCTTAAGATAGCAGTTCATAGAAGAATAACATGTTAAATAGAATATGAAAATGATTGAATTTACTAAGGGTGTTCTCAAGTAGCACACTCAATTAATTAGATAATGATCGTAATGGTGCTCAACCGTTATGTAAATTTTAATTATATCTTCATTAAAAATCAGTAGAGCGAATAATGATGTAATTGACGTGTTCTCACGTACCGCCCTCAATGTGATTGATTTGTGATTGTGTTTACGTTCAAGCGTTGCAATAATTGAAATATTGATTGCGATTGATGGT